CCAGCCCCCTACACCCCCTCCCTATCTCTGTCACCCCCTCCAGCCCTTACGCTCCTCCCTATCTGTGATACCTCCTCCAGCTCTCCAGCCCTTTGAGATCTCTGCCCCCGATCCCAAAATATCTGGCATCTTGGCTGCCCATCCCCTCCCCCACCACTCCTCTGCGCAAGACCTGATATTAATTACTCCACCACTGACAACCGCTCTTTCGGATTCCTGGGAAGAATTCCTTGACGTCGCCCGAAAAATACTATGAAGTATGACCCGAGGGTATGGTCAACATCAGCAGAATCAACGCTAGCCGGGCACAAGGGTTGAATTGGAGCCCATCTTACCCTAGAAGCTGGCCAAGTCAACTTGGGAACAACTTCTTTTTGATCCCTCGCGCCAGGGCTCGGTATCTGGAAGTCAAGGTGTTCAACTTCCAAATGGACAAGCTGGAAGAGTTGAAAGGCTGCCAAACCAAGCAGTGAAGCATTTTTGGTCTCCTTATCTGAGGAAGGGTGTTGTGGCGATGGATGGAGTGCAGAGAAGGTTTACCATACTGGTACCGACATATAAGGAGAGACTGGATTGGTTAGGCTTGTGTTCACTGAGGTTTGGAAGAATGAGGGGTGGACTCTCATAGAATCCATTAAAATTCCAACTGGGCAGGATGTGTCAGATGCAGGAAGGACATTCCCAAAGGTGGAGAAGTCCGGAAACTGGGGCCATGGTTTAAGGATAACGGGTAAACCTTTTAGGACTGAGATGAAGGGAAATTTCTTCACCCCAAAAGAGGTGAGCCTGTGGAATTCACTGCCACAGAAAGCAGTTGAGGACAAAACATTGCATGCTTTCAAGAAGCAGCTAGATATAGCTCTTGTGGCTAAAGGCATGAAGGGATCCATGGGAAAAAGGCGGGATTAGGGTATTGAGCTCGATGATCAGACATGATCATATTGAATGGTGGAGCAGATTAATGGGATTGTATGGCCTACACCTTCTCCTATCGTCTACATAGAAGGTGACTGCAGCTGTTGAAAAATAATAGAGTTCAAAAAGTGTAAATTAAGAGAAACATTTCCCAAAGCTTGAAGGAGACAAGAGGGCAGAGTTTTAAGACAAACGGAGAAATGGTTAACAAAACCTTTGTGAGGGTTTCTGAAGTTGTAGCCAGCATGATAGCTAAAAATGTACCAGTGGATGTGACATATTTAGAATCGTAGAATTTCTACAGTTTAGATAGAGGCCATTCAGCCCATCAAGGCTGCATCAACCCAGATCCAGGCCGTAACCCTGCATTTACTTTGGCTAAGGCTACTAACCTGTACATCCCTCAACACTATGGGGCAATTTAGCACAGCAAATCCACCCTAACCTGCACATCCCCCAACACTATAGAGCAATTTCACATGGTCATCTAACTGGCACATCACTGGACACTACTGGGCAATTTAGCATGGCCAATCCACCCTAACCTGCACATCCCTGGACACTACAGGACAATTTCCCATGGCCAATCCACCCTAACCTGCACATCCCTGGACACTACAGGACAATTTCCCATGGCCAATCCACCCTAACCTGCACATCCCTGGACATTATGGGGCAATTTAGCACGGCCAATCCACCCTAACTTGCACATCCCTGGGCACTAAGGGACAAGTTAGCATGGCCAATCCACCCTAACTTGCACATCTTTGGACTGTGGGGGGGAAACCAGAACACCCAGAGGAAATCCACGTAGGCACAAGGGAGAATGTGCAAATTCCACACAGACAATCATCCAAAGACACTCATTTGGAGAGCCCAAGCAGACACGATGGGCTGAATGGCCTCCTCCTGCCTAGGAATTCCAAAAGCGTGATAGCAGCTGCAGAGCAACCTTCGAAAGGGAACCAGATTCAAGAGTGGTAGGGGAAAGGGGGCAGTGATGGGGACCACAAAGATCATGCTTCCATCCAGGAGCCGCGGATGCAACAGGCCAAACGGCCTCCTCTGAGTCGCGGGGTCTCTCCTGGAGCTCGGGGTCTGTACCCAGCTCCATGGCAGCGAGCAGGTCTGTCTTCAGAGAGGTCTCCTCGTTTCCTGTCAAAGGAGAAAGGGGAGAATCAGTTAAAGAGAGGAAGAATTGTTAAGAACCGGGCTGGGCGGGGTCAAAGGTCAACCAGTTGATGTCCGAGTTTGACCATTGATGTCCCTTCCTTTTCAAAAGGATTACACCGATCCCCAGTGATGGGTGGGACAGTGAATTCCTGGGGTCTTTGGCAAGCTCTCTCCCCACTGCCCAACCCATCCACCCCAACCCCCATTCCTCTGCCAACAAAGTAACGTCAAGCTCGTCCAGCCCGGCCTCTCCAGTTTCGAGGGCGTCCTTTGCGCAAGAGGAAAGGAAAATGCCCTCTCGGTTTCGGCTTTGTCTAGAATGGGCAGCGTGGGCTGAGTGGCCTCTCTGCCAGCTCAGGAGTTCCCACTCGGAGATATATTGTCACCTATGGTCATAAATTGGTCAGAAATGCGATGTAACCCCCACTCCTTGCCCTCCACTGGGAGCCATCCCATTGCCCTCACCCATTCCCGCCATCATCTCTTCAGGCGGGAGAGAGCGGTGACCGTTACCGCCTTCCCGCCAAAAACCAAACCGACATTGAAAACAGATGGGGCGTGTTTTAGCGCGGGCAGGGGGCGTGGCTTGTGCGTGTCGGGGCGTGGTTTCGTGTGTTCGTTGGGGGTTGGAGCAGGACAGGAGGGGGTGTGGTTTGGTCTGGGGTGGGTGCGCTATGGGCTGAAGGGGGCGTGGTTTGGGTGCGTGTATGTGTGTGGTTTGTATGTTGGGGTGTGAGGTTTAGGTGTGTAGGGGGTGTGGTTTGGTCTGGCGTGGGCGTGGTTTGGGTGTGTCGGGGTGCGGTTCGCGCTGGAGGGGGCGTGATTTGAGTGTATGTGGGTGTGGTCTGGGCTGGAGGGGGCGTGGTTTGGGTGTGTTGGGTGCGCAGCTCGCGCTGGGCGGGGCGTGATTTGAGTGGATGTGGGTGCGGGTGTGGGCTGGAGGGGGTGTGGTTTGGGCTGGAGACGGTGTGGTCTGGGCTGGAGGGGGCGTGGTTTGGGTGTGTGGGCGCGCGGTTCGCGCTGGGCGGGGCGTGATTTGAGTGTATGTGGGTGTGGTTTGGGCTGGAAGGGGTGTGGTTTGGACTGGAGGAGGCGTGGTTTGGGGTGGGGGGGTGCGGTTCGCGCTGGAGGGGCGTGGTTTGAGTGCATGTGGGTGTGGTTTGGACGGCAGTGGGTGCGGTTTGCGCTGGAGGGGCACGTTTTGGGCTGGAGGGGGTGTGGTTTGGTTGGAAGGGGCGTGGTCGCGTGTCCTCTCTTTTCGCGGCTTGTGGGAGTGAGACGGGGACGTTTGCGTGAATGGGCGTGGCTAACCTGTAGGTGCCGGTTTGGACTGGTGTGGGCGCGGCTCATGGAGATAACGGCCAATGGATTGTGAGAGGGGCGTGGTCATTTTTGCAAAGACTCCGCGTGTGTGGGCGGGGCGCTGAGCGATTTGGAGGTGTGGCTACCTTTAGAGGGCGTGGTTTATGTGAGAGGAATAGGGCTTCCCCCTGGACTGAGAGACCCAGGTTCACATCTGTACTGCTCCCCAGATGTGTAATAACATGACTGAATGAATGAATGTTATTTGTACTCTGCAATGAAAAACACAGTAAAATACAGTGGAAAAGTATTAACTATTGCCAAAATCCATTTTGAATATTTTAAGTACAAAAAGAATAAAAGTTGAAAGAAAGTCCATCTTTATTGTGCCGGCCATCACCTCACATATAACCCAGAGACCCCATTCTGCTCCTACCACAACCTGGATTCTCTGGCTCCATTACTACTACAACTTCAACCAAGCCTAAAGACCCTGCAGGTTGATTAGAAAAACAGGTTTAATATTTTAAAAATGATAGTAGGGGAGGTTTATTGCAACTGTCCAAGGTGCTGGTGGGACCAGATCTGGAGTACAGTGAGCAGTTTTGATCTCTTTATCTAAGTGAACATATCATTTCAGACCCTCTGACGGCACAGCACTCCCTCAGTGCCGACCTTCCAATGTTGCCACTCCCTCAGCACTGATCCTCCGACAGTGCGGCGCTCCCTCTGCACTGACCCTCCGACTGTGCCTGCTTTCTCAGCACTGATCCTCCGACAGTGATCACTCCCTCAGTGTTGACCCTCCGACAGCACCTGCTCCCTCAGCGCCAGCCCTCCCTTAAATTCTTCCCTATCTCCCCCCTCCTCTCCTCCTCCCTCCCTCTTACCTGCCCCATCTTCTTCCTCCTCTTCCCCTCCCTCTCCATTCCCCTCCTCCTGTTGCTCTTCTCTCCTCTCCCTCCCTCGTTCCCTTCTGCTCCCTCCCCTCCTTGTTCCTCTCATTTCCGTCTTCCCTCTTCTCCCTCCCTTACACATTCATCCCCTCATTCTGGGGAGACGATCACAGTGTGATGCAGCAACTGCTCTGCCCAAGACGAAAAGAAATTACAGAGCATTGTGAACACAGCTCAGTCCACCATGCAAACCAGCCTTCCATCCACTGATTCCATCTATACTTCCCGCTGCCTCGGGAAAGCTGCCAACATGATCAAAGACCCCTCCCACCCCTCTTATATTCTTTTCTACCCTCTTCCATCAGGCAGAAGATGCAAACATTTGAGAACATGAACCAACAGATTCAAGAACAGCTTCTTCCCTACTGTTAACAGACTTATGAATGGACCTCATATATTAGAATTGATCTTTCTCTGCATCTTCTCTTATGCTGAAACACCATAGCACGGAAGCAGACCAGATCTCCTGAATTAATGTAATGCCATTTGCCAGCATTTGGCCCATAGCCCTCTAAACACTTCCTATTCATGTATCCATCGATGTCTTTTGAATGTTGTAATTGTACCAGCCTCCACCACTTCCTCTGGCAGCTCATTCCATACATGCGCCACCTTCTGCGTGAAAAAGTTGCTCCTCAGGTCCATTTTATATCATTTGCCTCTATCTTAAACCTATACCCCCTAGTTTTGGACTCCCCCACCCCAAGGAAAAGACTTTGCCTATTTACCCTATCAATGCCCCTCATGATTTAATAAACCTTTATAAGGTCACTCCTCAGTCTCCGTTGCTCCAGGGGAAAATAGCCCCAGACTATTCAGCCTCTCTCTATAGTTCAAACCCTCCAACATCCTTTTCTGAATCCTTTCAACTTTCACAACACTTTCCTCTAGCAGGGAGATGAGAGTTGCAGAGACAACAAGGTGCAGGGCTGGATGAACACAGCAGGCCAAGCAGCATCATAGGAGCAGAGTTGCACACGCAGTTTTCCAAAAGTGGCCGAACCAATGTCCTGAACAGCTGCAAGTAGAGTCGTAGATATACACAGCACGGAAACAGACCCTTCGGGCCAACTGGTCCATGCTGGCCAGTCCTCCCAACTGGTCCATGCTGGCCAGTCCTCCCAACTCCTATACTCAATGCACTGAGCAATAAAGCGTACAAATGCCTTCTTCATTATCCTATCTACCTGCAACTCCACTTTCAAGGAACTATGAACCTGCACCCCAAGGTTTTGTGTGTGTTTGTTTTGGGTGGGGGGTGGATTGGTGGTGGGATTTACATATCGTATGCAGGACGCTTCCCCTTTAAATCCTCCTTAAAGGTCCCCCCCCCAACTACCCGGAAGGGGTGAATTTCTGTCGGCTCACCGAGAGGCGGCGCCTCAGGCGAGTACTTGCCCCGCCCTCCGTTTCCGGAAAAGACACACACCTGTCAGATCGTCCTTTCGGTTCACCGGCACCCCGGCTGCCGAAAACAGAGGCAGGCGGGCGGGTAAAAAAAAGAATCCCATTGGGAATAACGGGCGGGTGTCGGGGGAGGGGAAACAATCCTGCGGTTGTCATCCCACGCCCGGACCTCCACCCCACCGGGTGAAGCCAAGATGGCGCAGGCTCTCTCCGAGGACGAGTTCCAGCGGATGCAGGTAAACTTCCCTGCTTCGGGGTTTTTTAAAAATATTTCCTATTGATTAGGGAGGAGTGTGTGGCTATTCAGCTCTGGCGGGCATCAGCAAGCCCCTACGGAAGCCGTCCCGGGGTGCGGGAGCCTACCGCCGCCTCTTCCTTTGGCGACTAGGCCGCAAACCAGACCCCGGCCTCGATTAGTCCCTCAGGCTGGGCTGGGGCTGCCTGTTGGCGGCTGCTTCTCCAGGGAACTTGCCCAACACCCAACCCCCCAACCCCCAACCCAAAAACATACCTCCCCCACCCCAACACACACGTCTTACCTTGAAAAAACTCATTACTTCCCAGCCTAACAACAAAAATAAAGCTCATTAAAAGTGTAGAAACCCGGGCCAGCGATGACCCAAGAATGGGAACTACCTGGGCCCTGGTTTATGTCCTTTTATCTGAATAATAACGTCCAAAGATGTGTAGGTTAGGCCATGCTATATATCCCCATAGTGTTCAGGGATGTGCATGGTGGATTGGCCATGGGAAATTCAGGGATGACGGCAGGGTCAGGGCCTGAGTCTGGGTGGGGTGGAGTAAACACAATGGGCCGAATGGTCTGCTCCTACACTGTAGGGATTTTCTCTGATTCACGCTCTCTGTCTTCTCCACCCCACCCCACACACACACCCTTGCCCACTCTCACCCACACCGATGCCTATCCACACACGCCCATCCTTGCCCCCACACGCCCATCCTTGCCCCCACATGCCCATCCTCAACCTCACCCTCCTATGTAAACTAAGTCACAACCACGCTCTCATCCTCCACTCACTCTATCATCCTCCACTCCCTGACCCCCCACCTTCCCCCCACCACCAACACACATATAAAAACTTATTAACATATAAAAGCTTAAGAAAACCTACCAACGGATTCAAGAACAGCTTTTCACGGGATGATGGTTTTGCTGGCTAGGCAGCATTTGTTCCCCATTCCTAATTGCCCAGAGGGTAGTTATGAGTCAACCGCATTATCTTGGGTCTGGAGTCACATGTAGGCCAGACTAGGTGAGGATGGCAGTTTCTTTCCCTAAAGGACATTAGTGAACCAGATGAGTTTTTCCTGACAATCGACAATGGATTCACGGTCATCATTAGACTCTTAATTCCAGATATTTATTGAATTCCGACTCCTCCATCTGCCGGGGCAGGATTTGAACCTGGGTCCCCACATCATTACCTGGGTCTCTGGATTAACAGTCCAGTGATAATACCACCAGGCCATTGCCTCCCACTTCTGACTGGACCTCTCAAATTTTAATGTTGATCTTGCTCTTTGTGCGCCTTCTCTGCCCCTGCAATGTTGTATTCCTCGCTCTGACCTATTACCCTGATGCACTCTGTATGGTATGATCAGCCTGCACTGCACTCAAAGCAAAACTTTTCACTGAACCTAGGTACACATGACGATAATAAATCAAATCAAAAATATAACTCCACTCTCTCATGCAGGGAGTGAGTGTTGAAGGTGGGGGTTAGCGCGTTGATCCAAGGGGTGGGGGGACTACTTTGCCCTGGACGGTGTCGAGCTTCACAAGTGTTGTTGGAGCCGCACCTGTCCAGGCAAATGGAAAGTATTCCATCACCCACCTGACTTGTGCCTTGTCGATGGTGGGACAGGCTTTGTGGGGGATGGGGAGAGTCAGGAGGGGAGTTGCTCGCTGCAGGATTCCCAGCCTCTGACCTGCTCTTGTAGTCACAGTGTTTATATTGTTGGAAAACTCCGGATGCAGGGTTAAACTGAAGCACCTTTTGCCTTCATGAATGTATGTAAAAAAAAAAAAATCCCGTGGCTGTTATAGGATGGGAGAGGGGGTAGTGGTCTTCAGGTTCCTGAGGCTAATGTTTATTGATCGACCAATCTGCATAACAAACAGACGACCTGGGACATTAGCACTTTGGCGATTGTGGGAACTTGCTGTGTGCAGGTGGGCTGGTGCATTTTACACATTTTATCCCTGATCCTGCATGGGCAGTGAGAAGCTTTGGCAGCTTCTGAGGTGGTAAAAGGTGCTCTACAGATGCAACGTTTTTATGTCAGAGAATGGATGCCCCCATAAAAGCTAATCCCTATCTGTTTCCCTCCTGCTCCTCTCTCTCTGTCTTCCAATCTACGCTGTAGGCTCAGCTCCTGGAACTGAGGACCCAGAACTACCAGCTCTCAGACCAAGTACGGAAGCAAAATGCAGGTGAGGAAGTGACAGGAATTGGACAGAGCAGGGTTTGATGCTGGATGGTGTAGAGGGAGCTTTATTCTGTATCTAACCTCATGCTGCCCCTGTCCTGGAGTGTTTGATGGGGGGGACGGTGTAAAGGGAGCTTTACTCTGTATCAGACCCTGTGCTGTCCCTGTCCTGGGAGTGCTTGATGGGGGAGGAACAGTGTAGAGGAAGCTTTACTCTGTATCTAACCCAATGCTGTCCTGTCCCTGGGAGTGTTTGATGGGGGGCACAGTGCAGAGGGAGCTTTACTCTGTATCTAACCCCGTGCTGTCCATGGGAGTGTTTGATGGGGGGGGAACAGTGTAGAGGGAGCTTTACTCTGTATCTAACCCTGTGCTGTCCCTGTCCCTGTCCCTGGGAGTGTTTGATGGGGGGGACAGTGTAGAGGGAGCTTTACTCTGTATCTAACCCCGTGCTGTCCCTGGGAGTGTTTGATGGGGGGGACAGTGCAGAGGGAGCTTTACTCTGTATCTAACCCCGTGCTGTCCCCGCCCTGGGAGTGTTTGATGGGGGACAGTGCAGAGGGAGCTTTAAGATTTTGCTGCGAGCTGGAATCAGTGATTCAGGAAGGGGATGGAGGCTGGTGTCAGCCGTTTGATGGTAACCTCCTCTCTGCCTCCCACGTTGCAGAACTGAGTTCCCTGCGGCAGAAGTCCAGCAATGTGGAAAGGGATCTGGCGAGAGCTCAGAAGGTAGGTGCTGACACGCTCTGGTACACCCCACCCCACCCCTTGTTACCCAAAAAGACCGTGAGTGCTATCTCCGTGATCCTGAGCCTTCCTTTTGAAGGATGCTGTGATCACAGAACAGGAGGAGTGCAGGGGAGGGGCAGATATTGGGCGCTGAGCAGGGGATAGGGGAGGACATGGCTGCAATTTGGGTGTGCGGATGTGGTGGTTGCGAGGTGCCTTGAAACTGCTGAATTATCTGGAAGAAATCCTTCCCCCACACACCTCCCCAGCTCCTCATTTGTCACTGTTTCCGTGCGGGAGCTGGTCAGCCATGCTGTCCCTGTCCTGTGCGTGTTTTATAGGGTCAGTGTAGAGTGAGCTTTACTGTGCATCTAACCCCGTGCTGTCCCTGTCCTGGGAGTGTTTGACGAGGGTCAGTGTAGAGAGAGCTTTACTCTGCATCTAACCCCCTGTGCTGGGAGTGTTTGATGGGTAGGGTACAGTGTAGAGAGAGCTTTACTCTGTATCTAACCCCCTGTCCTGGGAGCATTTGATGGGTGGGGTACAGTGTAGAGGGAACTTTGTGCGATGTTACACAGGGCAGAGGGCCCGCGCGGCTGTCTCCCTACAATGTGGAGTTTCACACTTAACAATGTTTAATTTCTCTCCCTTCCCTCAGGCTGTAACTAAAAGCAAGAAGGCCCAGGTGAGGTTACATCTAAACCTTCCCATCATCCACTGGTGCTCTCCTGCCTTGGCTCTCGCCTCCCTCTGGCCGTAGCACCCTGCGACCACGTATCATCACATAGCAGTCGCCCTGTGTATGAGTTGACCTCTTCTCCCCCCCCACTGCCTTGCTGCTCCTCGTCGGGGGCGGCCTTTCATGACCGTCCTTGAATGGCTTTGCACTACCATTCGGGGCAGTGGGACACAGGGAAGCAGCTCCTGCTCCCTATCCTCTCGATTTCCCCGCCCTTGGTGTGGATTGCCCAGAGTTCATGTGCGTTGCGGAGCCGTCTCGTGTACACAGAAACTCTGAGCTGCTGCGCTCGGCTGGGTGTGAACAGGAAAAGGCTGTGACTCTTTCTGTGGCATCCTTTTCGCCTCCCCTCGCTGCGGGAGCATATCGGAAACCCCAAGCCCCCTGCTATTCCCAGAGTGGTCGCCAAAGGTAGTTGACTATCTCATTTCTAACTCCTTCTCAGACTTCCTGCTGCCTTCCTTTTAATCCGGGTTTGTCAACCAACCTTATATTTTTTATTCTGTAACATTTGTACTTCGGTACTTATACCTAGAAAGGCGCCATTAAAAGGCAGCCGTTGTAAAAACTTTTCACTGTGTTTCTGTACTTCTGTATCTTTTATAAAAGATATTCTATTCAATGCTGTCCTCAAAGAGGGGGACAAAAAGTAAGAATTTTTGCATTCATTCACGGGATGAGGGCTAGGCCTGGCATTTCTTGCCCAGATGGCAGTTAAGAGTCAATCACATTGCTGTGGGTCTGGAGTCACACGTAGGGATGGCAGATTTCCTTCCCTAAAGGACATCAGTGACCCAGACTGGATCTTTCTGACAATCGATCCGTGGTCGTCATCAGACTCCCGAATCTCGACCTATTCAAATTCCACCGTCTGCCGCAGCGGGATTCGAACCCTGGGCCCCAGAACGTTACCCAGGCTTCTGGATTAACAGCGATAGTCCCACTAGGCCGTGGCCTCTGCTTCTGGGCAGACCGGGTAAGGAGTGCAGACCTCCATCCATTTCACTGAACCCGGTGGGGTTTCTTTTCCCTGACGGTCAGCTGGCTCCTTATTCTGGGTTTGTGTCGGATTTAGCCTTCCTCTGACTTCCGCGGAGTAACGGGAGGAGGGCGGAGGGGGTGGCTTTCCATCTGCGATTAGAGCTCTCCGATTTTGTTTTTTGCTGTGACCTATTTTGTTTGAATTCCTCCCAACTCGCCAGGAGGTGGACGCCCTGCTGAGTGAAAACGAGATGCTCCAAGGTAAACTGCACAGCCAAGAGGACGACTTTCGCTTGCAAAACACCACGCTCATGCAGGAGCTGTCCAAGGTGAGCTGTTTACCCCCTCTTCCCCACCCCCCAACCCCCAACCCCCAACCCCCAACCATCCCCTGTATCCTCTCCTCCCCCATCACCAAACATTCTGGGGCCAGAGAGTCACACATCATGGAAACAGACCCGTCGGTCCAACTAGTCCGTGCTATCCTAGACTGAACTGGTCTCGTCTGCCTGTGTTTGGCCCATATCCCTCCAAACCTTTCCTATTCATGTCCCCGTCCAAATCGCTTTTGAATTATGTACCGGTATCTGCATCTACCACTTCCTCATTCCATACACACACCACCCTCTGCGTGAAAAAATTGTTCCACAGGTCCCTTTTGAATCTTTCCCTCTCTCACCTTAAACCTATGCCCCTCTACTTATGGACTCCCCCACCCTGGGGGAAAAAGACCTTGGCTATTCACCCTATCCATGCTCCTTGTGATTTTATAAACCTCTATAAGGTCGCCCCTCAGCCTCTGACGCTGCGGCCTTTCCCTGTGGTGTAGATGTCCCCATCTCCCCATGCTGTAGACCTTTATGACTCTATAACAGTGTGGTCTGTCTCGGTTTAAGATGAGGAGGAATTTCTTCAACAATTCCCCCCCAGCGCAGTCCATAAAAAAACTCCCCAGAGATGGAGAACCTTTGGGGATTCTCTCTCATGAACGATGATCTGTCAGTGAGCAATCTGGAACGCGACCATTGGCCTGTACTCCCAGAGGTAACTCTTTAAATCGAATCCAAATCCACCATTTAACGTTAGAGAGAACGCTGATGGAATGTAGCAGGTCTGGCCTGGAAAGAAAGCAACGCCACTTGAGAGACTGGACTAGCTTGTGGGCGTGATAGCACCCAATTTCTGAAACCTTTCAGTTCAGCACAGCATTCAAAACGTTAACTGTCTCTCTGTCTCCACGGCTGTTGCCAGACCTCCTGAGTTTCTCCAGCTTTCTGTGTCTATCTCGGGCTTCCAGCATCTTAAGAATTTTGCCTTTATATATTTGAAACAATTCAGTAAAAGTCACTTCCTGGTGCTCTCACTACAAGCTCCCTAGTGCTATTTCCTGATCAGCCTGTTAAAAATGTTATTACATACCTCTGCAGCAAGTAGGACTTCAACCCATGTCTCCTGCCTCAGAGGATCAGCTCCCCACTGATTCGCACCCAGTTAACTCTTCATGCTCTGTTCAGACACTGCTATTCCTCCAAATAAATGAAAGCAGAACCTTGCAGATGCTGGAAATTTGAAATGAATTAAAAATAAAGAAAGCATCACACAAACCGAGCACACCCTGGCTGCCAGTGTGGAGGGAGTGGGGGAGAGAGAGAGAGAGAGAGAGAGAGAGAGAGAGAGAGAGACAGAATTTTTGTTTCCAGTCTAGCGTGACCCTTCAGAACTGAAAGGCAATTGGAAGTTCTCTCATCAGGGGGAGGGGGAAACAGGAGGAGCAGATGGAGTTTAATCCAGACATGTGCGAGGTGTTGCATTTTGATAAGACAAACCAGGGCAGGCACGGTGGCCCAGTGGTTAGCGACTATCTGTGTGGAGTTTGCACATTCTCCCCGTGTCTGCGTGGGTTTCCTCCTGCAGTCCAAAGATGTGCAGGTTAGGGTGGATTGGCCGTGCTAAATTGCCCCATAGTGTTCAGGGATGTGCAGGTTAGGTGAGTTATAGGGGGATGGGTCTGGGTGGGATGCTCTTAGGGTCGATGTGGGCCTGTTTCCACAGTGTAGGGATTCTATGACTCCATGACTTATACACCAATTAAAAACCGAAAGAACTGCAGATGCTGTAAATCAGAAACAAAAACAGAAATTGCTGGAAAAGCTCAGCAGGTCTGGCAGCATCTGTGGAGAGAAATCAGAATTGACATTTCGGGTCCGGTGACCCTTCCTCAGAACTCTTATACACTTAATGGTAGGGACCTGGGCAGTGTTGGCGAACAAAGAGACCACAAGGTGCAGGTATATCGTTCCTTGAAAGTGGAGTGGCAGGTAGACAGAGCAGTGAGGGAGGTGTTTGGTACGCTCGCCTTTATTGGTCGGTGCGTTGAGTATAGGAGTTGGGAGGGTCATGTTGCGGCTGTATTGGTGAGGACACTTTGGGAATACTGCGTTCTGTTCTGGTCTCCCTGTGATGGGAAAGACGTTGTTAAACTGGGAGGGGTTCAGAAAAGATTTACGAGGATGTTGGAGCTATAGTGAGAGGCAGAATAGGCGAGGGCTATTTTCCCTGGACCGTCAGAGGCTGAGGGGTGACCTTGTAAGTGTGTTTAAAATTATGAGGGGCTTGGATAGAATGAATAGCCAATGTCTTTTCTGCAAGGGTGGGGGAGACTAGAACTAGAGGGGCATAGGTTTAAAGGTGAGAGGGGAAGGATTTAAAAGGGATCTAAGGGGCAACTTTTTCACGCAGAGGGTGGTGCATGAGTGGAACGAGCTGCCAGAGGAGGTGGAAGAGGTTGGTACAATGACAACATTAAAAAGGCATCTGGGTGGGTACATGAGTAGGAAGGATTTAGAGGAATATGGGCCAAATGCTGGCAAAAGGGACTAGATCAGCGTGGACTGGCTGGGCTGAATGGTCTGTTTCCGTGCATCTGACTCTATAAATATCAAATGGAGAGCGAATGGTGGTAAAGGAGTGCTAAAGGTGTGAAATAGGTGTTAATGGCAGGTGGACTGTCGTTGGGTGCCTCACTCTGTCCATCTCTGTGGTCCGCTTCAGCTTTGTTCCCAGATCGAGGAGCTGGAGGCGGAGAATAAGCGGATGAAGGAGGGCTATCCGGTGTCGGACACAGCGTCCCCACCGAGCCAGGTTGATGGGGAGCTGCTGCGGCTACAGGCTGAGAACACAGCGCTGCAAAAAAACATGGCAGGTAATTCCCTCAAACTGCCTTTGGAGGGCAGTGTCTCACTGGGCTAGCATAACACTCTGTATCTATCCCCACGCTGTCCCTGTCCAGGGAGGGTTTGATGGGCGGGGGGTGTACAGTGTAGGGGGAGCTTTACTCTATATCTAACCCCGTGCTGTCCCTGTCCTGGGAGTGTTTGATGGGGGACAGTGTGGAGGGAGCTTTACTCTGTATCTAACCCCGTGCTGTCCCTGGGAGTGTTTGATGGGGTGCACAGTGTAGAGGGAGCTTTACTCTGTATCTAACACCGTGCTGTCCCTGGGAGTGTTTGATGGGGGACGGTGTAGAGGGAGCTTTACTCTGTATCTAACCCCCTGTCCCTGGGAGTGTTTGATGGGGGACAGTGTAGGGGGAGCTTTACTCTGTATCTAACACCGTGCTGTCCCTGTCCTGTGAGTGTTTGATGGGGGACAGTGTGGAGGGAGCTTTACTCTGTATCTAACCCTCTGTCCTGGGAGTGTTTGATGGGGGGACAGTGTAGAGGGAACTTGACTTTGTATCTAACCCCATGCTGTCCGTGTTGGGGGAGTGTTTTGATAGGTGGGGGGACAGTGTAGAGGGAGCTTTACTCTGTATCTAACCCCATGCTGTCCCTGTCCTGGGAGTGTTTGATGGGGGACAGTGTAGAGGGAGGTTTACTCTGTATCTAACCCCGTGCTGGGTGGTGGGGGAGTGAGTGGGATTAACTGGGTGTAGCTGTGATGCCTGTCACTTGCTCTCAGCTCTACAGCAGCGTTATGAGGCACAAATCCATGCTCTGAGGCAGAGTGAGGAGAAACATGGCGACGGGCAAGAAATGGACATTGTGGATGGGCAGGGTCCCGACGCTGAGCTAAAGGAGGAAGTGGAGGAGACAAGTGACAAAGGCACCCAGGAGTCAAACAAAACCCTACTGGAGAAATTGGAACAGGTTGGGAAACGTCAGAGGGACTAAAAACAAAAGGCACTGTGATACTTTACAGGGAGCTGTACTCTGTATCCAACCCCGTGCTGTCCCTGTCCTGGGAGTGTTTGATTGGGGGACGGTGTAGAGGCAGCTTTACTCTG